TTTTAAAGAAGGCACAGAGAGTAGTGGTTGACAGTCACAATTTCAAAGGCAGGCAGGGACTTAAAAGTAAGTACTATCCAAAATGGAGACAACAATTCTTTCTACACTCTTTCTAGATTGATAAACCTCCATGTCTACAGACTAAGAGGAATAACATAATCACTTTCCCTTCCATTTGTGAAGCTCATTTCTTTAATTTCCCTGGTGCTAGCAGAAAATGTAGGAACACGTACATGTCATCACAATTTTCCATTGCAGACCCTTTTCTCCTAAAGCTGCTATTGTCGCTGTTGCCAATGGTTTTCAATGAAACACATTTAAAAAAACAAGCACACAGAAAAAGAAACACAACACTCCCTGAAACTCAGTAACTGGAACCAAACACCAGAAGTTTTCCCACTGCAAAAATAAAAATTAAAAAATAATAATAATAATAATTCCACACACTAGGTAAGTTCTTTGACGTGCTATTGGAAAGTGATAAGCAAGGTATAAGAGTCTATATTAAAAAGAGATGTTAATTACATTAAACTACAAAACTGTAGAGTAGTTAATGCTAGAGAATCTCTGCTATGAATGTGTTTGCTTTCTGAGGGACCCTGGCTCTAATCTGCCAAACCTCACTCCCTGAAGGTTCAGAGATAATTCAATCTGCAAACTGTTGAAATGTGAGTTTCAACATCCAAGCAAGGCTATTTGTAGTATAAAATAGTAGCAAACATTGTAGGTAGGTTTATGAAATAGATGAGAACCTGCCAAGATCACCATTTTTTGAAGAGTTTGACCTTGGTTTCAAACACTCAGATTATAAACAAACAAAACCTGATGACACCTGATGGAAGGAAAAAAAACAAACCACAACAAAAAAACACCAAAACAGTAAGTAAATATTTTGCCCATGACTGAAAAAAACAAACAAACAAACAAACAAACAAAAAAACCACATAGATATTTGCTGCTCATGTTTGAAACACGATGAAAGCAGATCAAGTGTGCCCTCATGTGCAACATACCTAAATATGTGGTTATGGATATTGGTACCACAGGAAAGTATAGAAATCACCTCATATGATACAGTTTTTGAAATAAAGTACTTGAATACACTCTTAATTCATATTATTCATTTGTGAAAAAGCACAAAACAAGTACATTTCCATGCAACTTGTTAGACTTTTGATCATTTTTTCTTAGCTCAAAGAAAAACTAAAGACTGGGGCAATCAAACTTGGGGCTTTCATCATTCTGCTTAGCAACTATACATCTCAGATAGTGGCTTCTAGAAGAGGTCACCCAGGAGCAATCTGGTAAGGCATCAGGTGAGATTATATCCCAAACCATGGGCTGTTGGTGAGGAAAAGGAGACTTGAAACTTTCAAATCTTTGCCTGTAGAAAGCACCAATTTTCAGAATTTGGGGAAATTGTGCCTGTTGTAGTACATGCTCCTTCAGAGCATCTGATTAAATCCCTCAGAATCACCAGCTGAGCCTTGATATGTATACAGCTTGGTTACAAATTTCATCGGCTGTAATACTTAGCTTCTACATCTGAACTGAGTTACAATTTACTTTAAAAATAAAAATAAGATCTTGCCTGATGGATAGAAACAATAAGATAATGATTCATGAAGAGTTTCCAAAGTTTCCTTTGGAAATATTGACCTTTCTCACCATTCCACTTGGAAAGAGAGCTTCTAAGCTGAGAAAATGCAATACTTTGTCTTTTTTGCCACTGTTCCACATTTCCCCAAGCAGCCACAGAGAACACCAGGAATTTCTGACTGGCTTCCACGGGGCTCTTGAAGCCTATCAGAAAGCACCAAATCAACAATAATCATGGCAGGTTCACTTTTGCTGTTCTTGCTAATAAGAAGTCTGAACAACAGATATTAGTGTTACTGATTTAAGCTATTAATTCAAAGAAAGAATCCAAAAATATCCAAAAATAAGGAGATATAAAGGACAAAATGGAACAGTAAAGGATTCTCTCAGTGCAATCAGGATGCCTGGCACAACAAAAAGCAGCATAGCCCTTATGTCCAGGGTTCTCTTCAGAAGAACAAAGGACAAGAGAGACCAAGATTTGTATATTTTAAAACTAAAAGATCATTAACATTGTATACAGGAAGCAATGCCTTGTTCCCAACATCAGCAAAATTAGCTATTACTTGCTGTTAATTCTTCTCATTGGCTTGAAATACAGAGGAAAATGAGCTGTCGTAGGTTGTTTTCCATAGTACAAATGAGTGCACAAATAGGAAGGTATATGTATGTTAATAAGCAGGGGAGCAATGATCAGTATGCCCTTGAGAGAAGAAACATTCCTCAAGCTTTCTGATAATCAGATTGTAGAGTATGTCACATCAGCTAGGAGCACATAAAATGCATTTATGAAAATAATTTTGCTTGTGCAGGGACTCCCCTAAGTTGATGAAGCTCTACTTCTGAATCAGGATTTGAAACAATCCTTTTTTACGCATTCATGGACATCTGCATCCTCTGTGAAAATGATATGCAACAATGTCTCCAATGAGCTGCAGTATCCCTCAATACTACTTCTCATTACTACAAAGTCCAGTCACACCACCACCACACCCTAGCACCGCAGAAATGGAAGAATACCTACCATTTCTCTCTCACACACACACAAAAAAAGAATTTTTTCCTTTAAAAAAAGTCTTTTTTTCCCCTCAAATAAAGGTATATTTTCTGCTTTGGATGATCATTTAAAAACTGAAATCCATGTATTAGTAATAAAAGGTTTCCCTGTTAAAAGTTCTAGGTTGTTGGGTTTTGTTTGTTTGTTTTTGTTTTTAAGTATGCTTATCGCTGTAGAAGTGCTCATCAGCCAGATTACATCTTCATCCTTTGTTTTACATTAGTATTAAAACAGCTGCTAATTCCAGGGTGAACCTTAGCAGCATTTCTCCTTTAAGCAGACTTTGCCTAAAAAGCAGTGATAACTGATCAACCAACCTCATACCTACATGTGCGAGTTAAGTCTCCTCAACTTAAAACTTGTGATCTGATGGTTTATGGTAATATATCATCAAGAATACAAGTAATAAAGTGCAAAGAGGGTTGTTGGGTTTTTTTGTTTGTTTGTTTGTTTCCCCAAATAAATGATTATTCTTGCTTTGGACCTTTTTAAATGCCATGACAGAGGCCAGATGTGACCCAGAGATGTGTGTTGCTGCTAGCATGTTCTTTTCACACCCAGGAAACCTCCCCAGGTTTGTTTTCAATTCCTGAAAAAGTCTTCACATTAGAAGTTTGCTCAAGCTACTCCAGAAGATAATCCTAACTCCAGCTATATATATATATGACACTGCAGCTCACGATCACTTATAAAAAGCTTACAATAATGCTACAGTTCTACATCAGCTTACCTGCTTGTCCACCTGCTGGTATATTCCTGTGGGGCGTTTCTGTTTACGTCTTCACCACTGTTTTTTATGTATTTTTATCACCGTGAGTTAGCAAATACGTTTGCCTTCACAGGCTCCCAAAACAATAACATTTGAACATCTTAACACGTTCCACCCTTGTCATAATCTCCTGGCTGTTGACTGCATTTCAAACATAGCCTTTTAGCCACACAAGGCACTATTTAAGCCATTTTCGTTCTCTTTGCAGAAAACATGAAAAGTATGCTTCTAAAACTTAAATGGCTTTAAAGAACTTCAGTGATTAATTTTATGTTTCTAAATTGCTGGGAAAGGTTACATTCCTGCCATTCCACTTGAGATTCACTACTTCTATTTAAGATTCGTTTTTTAGACAGTGTGCATGAATAAATCACATCCGATAAGATCCATCCAGCTACAAAGAATCAGACAACTTAGGTGGAGAACAGAACCTAGAAATAAAATGCTTTCCGGAACACAAAGGGATTAAGGGCTGATTACAGCCAGTAGGAAGACCACAGGCATTTTGGGTTTCTGATCTGCTAACACCTTGTCTTTTTTGTACTCATTTTGGTCCCTGAAACCTATCGGGTTTTCTTTTCTGTAGTTCTCTTAGCACCTGTCTGCAGGAGAAGGATTGGTGACAATGCCGGTTGCTATTGAGACCGACCAACACTCTCAGCTCTACTATTCAGTACGAGGCAGATGAATGGGGTAATGCAAATTATTTCCTTTCTGCAATAAGGTTAACTGCTTAACAGAGGTGCTGTCTGCACCTCTGCTGCCAGCAGATCCACACTAGGTCTAAAGAAAAGAAGAAGGAATGGTCTTTAGCCATGTGTCACAGCCTCCAAATCCATAGGAATGCCATACATCATGTACCAGACTGGATGATACTAATCCAGGTACACGTTACTAGAAGAGACCTTCCTGCAATTCATTAACTTTAAACGCAGTCACTTGGAAAGTGCTACAGTACCACTGCATGCCGTGTACACACCTTGGAAGCGGGTTTATTTTTAGGCAGTGTCTTTGTTACTGTATTTCAGCGCCCACTTTTCAAACTCAGTCTAGTTTCGCCTGGTAGCGGAGCTTACAAATGCTGCCACATGCCCCCTGTACATGTGAGTATAAAGATATAATCTGTTCCGTAACAGTCTAACGACAAAACGTTAGCACGCACCGCTAAGTCTGAAAGACACAAAAATACACATCTGCAGAAGAGCGCAGACGGAGCAACTTCCCACGCACACACCTGTACGGCACACTGCCCGCCAGCCACGCACCACGCGTGACACGGCCCCGGCCGCGCAGTGCATAACGCCGAGCGCCGGCGGCAGAGCGGGCACCAAGTTGAGCTCAGGCTGCCACAAACGCCCGACTTTATTAACTCCGCCGCGCGCCCGCCCAGCTCGAGCCGCGCCGAACTACCTGTAACGCAGCCCCATCTCCCGCCCGCCTCTCCCCGCGCCGACCCCAGGACGCGGGCAGTGCCCCCGGACACCTCTCCGGGCACAGGGGAGCCGCCCAACCGCCCCGCCGCTTCCCACCCGCCCACCCACCGTCCCTCCGCGGGCCGCCCCCGCCGCCACTCACCAGCTGCGCGCCGCACACCGCCACCAGCGTGCACCGGCCGCTGCAATAGCCCATGGCTCCCGGCACCCCGCGCCGCCGTCCCGCGCCGCGCCCACTCAGGCGGCGGGAGAGCACCGCCCGGCCGCCGCCCGGCTCCCGCCTGCCGCCGGCGCGCCCCGGCCC